AAATATAACTATTTTAAAAACATCACACATATTAGATACATAATAACTATCGATGGCTGTTTGAAACAATAAACTGTATTAATGTCTTTTAATATGGATTTTAATCAAGTATCGGCCAGTTCTATTCAATTGTTCCAAATATGTAAAAGTATGTTTTAGAAGAAAACTTTTTTCTGAATTATTTATTTGAAGTATGTGAATTAAAAAAAACATGAACAATTGAGATTTAGGACGTCTCTTTTTTAGATCATTATTTTTTTACACGCTTTATATTAGCGTCACCTGTATGTATGTATGTATGTTTGTTTGAATGTATGTTTGTTTGTAACTCTCAAGCTCGAGATCTGTATTGACAGAATTATCGGCATTATTGCTTGATCTATTCACGAGCAGATGGCGCTGTACGTAGCCTCATTTATATTTCTTCATCTATTCGCAGGCAGATGGCGCTGTATGTAACTATCAATTATTGCTTGAGCTATTCGCGGGCAGACGCCGTTATACGTAACCTTCTTGATAGGTTGTTCCAAAGAAAATCAAAATAAAAAACATATTTTAAGAATTATATAGCGAAATTTTGTACTACAGATGAAATATTTAAATATTTACAATTACCCTTGATTTAGTACAGAAAAACGTTTTGAACGAAACGGGAGATACATTTTAAAATCTAATTCGATTATTTGAAAGCAAACTAGAATATGGATTTCAACAATGAAAACTTTATCGTAAATTGTACACTTAAAACATTCAGTTACTCAAATATTTCAAAAAATCGAAAAATTAGAATTAAGGTGCTTGATATACATATCAAATCAAAAGATTGATTTGAAAAATAAAATTATTAATTCTTTGAAATTTTTTAAATAAGCCATACTTGTTCTTAAACTAAATAATCATTTATTCTTGTAAAAAAAATGGGTGAAACGTTATTTTCAGTGGCTTTGCGTGTGTGGTAAAACAGGCGCGTGGAGCCCTATTTTCAGCGTTAAATTAAAGTTATAAATAATGGAGGTACATTCCAGGTGTCGTAACTTTTTTATGGGAAATTTCCTCCTCTTTTAAAATATTTCTGTTTCATTCCATAAATATTTATAGTTCTTATGTTATTAACAATCAATCTGAATACCTCCTTTTTTTACACGCTTTATATTAGACTCACCTGTATGTATGTATGTTTGTTACTCTTCTTTCCCGTTTGAATGCTCGAGATCTGTATTTGACAGAATTATCGACATTATTGCTTCATCTATTCGCGGGCAGATGGCGCTGTACACAACCTCCTTGATATAACTCGAACTCACTTCACATGTATTTCTTCATTTGAAAAAAGTATTTTTTTTTATTAACACGCGCTTCTGCTGCCTTTCTTGGGCTTGGTAGCTGATTTTCAGGCTCCCTCTTCGTAATCGGAAAATATCAATGGTCATTTGTCTAAACAATATACGGCTGATTGATCCCAAAGTTTAGATAATACAAATAGCAAAAAACCCATAGGAAATGAGATATTTCCAAAAAAAGCGCAAAAAAACGATTTTTGTGACCTTTGACCTTGCAATTTAATAGTTGCTTACACCCTACCATATGCAGGTTTTGAGACAACTTTTAGGGTGTCAATATGCAAGTATTTACAGACTTACAGTTGGGTATCTCGAATTTCGAGGTGAACTTACTATAATGACTGGACTATCATCCCTCTCAATCAAAATATTGACACTACTCTAACAGCAGCTTATCGCATGTATAGATTCTTAGTTAGAAACAAAAAAGACTTGGAAAAAGCTTCAACATTGAAATTACTTTATTTGACTTTTGTTCGATCTAAGCTGGAATATGCATCTGCCGTGTGGTTCATATAAATCAACTAGAAGCCCTACTATATTTATTGTATTTCTACTATGCTTTAGGTTTTTTAAATGAAAAAATTCTGCACACCAGTTTATTCTGAAAAATACCTCATTTGAAAATGAAAGAAATTGCCATGGAAAAATTTGTCAGAAAATGCGAATAAATATTCAGTTTAAATACCTGAGTTTTACCTGGCCATTTAATGTTTTATGTGTACCTGAGTTTATAATTAATTAAATTACCTGAGCTTATGTACCAGTTTCCATAATTGAAAAAATATTTAGTAGCGGGGAGTTATTTAATTCTATTTGGCCATTCAGTAAATTTCCCGAATTCTCAAATCTACTGATTTCCAAACATTGTGGAAGATTGAGTTCCAAACTTTTCTCTTCTGAATGTAACACTTCGCATTCATGATTGAACTCATATTCTTCTGCTAAAAGGTGGTTTGAAAATGTGGAATTGGTTTTTCTATTTGAAAAACTACTTCTATGCTCTTTAATTCTTTGGTAAAATGTTCTTCCTGTTTGGCCAATGTATAGTTTTGGGCAAGAGACACAAGTCAGCTTATAAACTATTGAACTATCCGACATCGAAGTTTTGTCTTTATTGTTTTTCAATAAATTAACTTAGACTATTATTCGTTCTGTGAGCTACGTCCACGCATTCTTTTTTCAAAAAACGGGCGATATTATTGATGGATTCACCCAAATATGACAGTGTCCTATAGCTGACGTTATCGCAACTTGAATGTGGGTAGACCTGGTCCATGGCTTACTTTCGTAGTTTTTTGGGAAGAATGGAGTCTATAATATCTACCTTATAATCGTTGTTGACCGCGATTTATTTGATCAAACTCAGCTCTCTCTGGAAATTACTCTCAGACAGTGGATTATTCACTAGTCTGTGATGAATACTATTGAAAGCAGTAACTTTGTAACTTTGTAAGGGTGTGTGGAGGAATTATGTATGATAATGTCCGTGTAAGATGGTTTGTGGAAAATTGCAAAACCATGTTTATTGTTATTTTTCGTAATAGTTAAGTTAAGGTAATTTATTGAATTATTTACCTCCCTTTCAGTGGTGAATTTTATTAACGGGTGAATGGAATTGACATATTACTAAATGGCAAAATTATTTGAGAGTCAATATGCGTTTGAGAAATAGATAGATAGATAGATAGATAGATAGATATTTATTGGCTACGTTATATACAAAAAATTAAAAATAAAAAAACTATAAAACTATAGAACATCGAACTGAAAAGTTAAATATATTTATTTTGAATAAGCTTAAAACAATGACTTATTATTTTAAGCTTATTTTAAAAAAGAATATTTTTAACTTTTTAGTTCGATGTTCTTTAAAAGCATGTTTTTTAGTTTTTTAAACTATATTTATTCCTCGATAATTTTGTTCATAACAATCGTAATTTTTTACCCACTGTAAAATCCTTCAATAACATTTTTCTGGGGCTCATTCCGAATCGGAATTCTTAGGAGCTTTATATATTTTTTGCCACATTTTTCAACTTGTTGCTTAGACTCATACCGTACGTATGAAAAAAATTCAGTTGAAATTTGTTTGGCTATAATTTTTTTTGGCTTGTCCTATATGTTTATAGTTGCGATATTGAATTTCGGACAATTCTATCATCGTTGGTTTAAATGTAACTAATTTTGTACTGGATTCATGACAGGAATGAATTACACGAGAATTTATTTTCCCCCATTAAATTCGGTTTATTGCCCGTTTCTGATTCATGGTGAAGTTATGCAAGGCGGGCAGGAAGCCAAATTTTAAAAATACGTAAAACGTCGCGTCCCGTGATTCGAATCTAGAAAATCGGATTCAGATATAATAATAGAACAGTTTACTTTCGGGAATATGTGTGTGGGTCGATAAAGTGAATCTTGTCAGACGTTTTTTGTCGCCGCAATTTTTGTCGGCATAGAAGAGGTCAAGTATAACTGGTTCTTACATAATTATTAGTTTTTGCTGGAGCTATCGATTAATTTCGATACAGATCAGACTTGATGAGGAACAGTTTAATTTACACTTCGTTAGAAAATGAGGGAAAACAAAAAACTGAGAGAAACGTCTCTTCCTGTGAAAGTTACTGTTTTTTAATCCAGTCATTTAAGCTTAAATTAGGTAAGAATCTCGGAAATCGAGATACCCATCTGTAAGTCTGTAAATACTTGTATATTGACACCCTAAAAGTTGTCTCAAAACCTACATATGGTAGGGTGTGAGCAACTATTAAATTCCAAGGTCAAAGGTCACAAAAAATTGAATTTTTCAAAGTAGTCAGTTAATCTTTTCTTAGCTATGATTTCAATCACCTTGCCAATAATGGGAATAATCGATATTGGACGATAATTTTCCAACATGTCAATGTCACCTTTTTTGAAAATTGGAATAAGTTTCGTTTTTTTGAAAATATCAGGAAAAAATCCTTGACTGAAACACAAATTGCACAGTATAGCAATGGGTTCAGAGATAATATACACTATTTCTTTCAACATCACACTATTCAGCTCATAAATATCGAAACAATTCGATTTTTTCATGTCATTTATTACCTCTATTACCTCCAGTTGAAACCTCTTCACACAGTATCTATACTACTTAAATTATGGCAGACTTACGTTCCTGTCTTTTCAATTGTTGAAATTATTATTCGACAACACAAACAGGCCTTAGAAGTTAAAGGTTTCTATATTTTGCCTATATTTTACAGTTCTCTTAATTTAGCTGTTGTAAAGATGTTTCTAGGTTCTGTATCCATTTTTTGAGTGATCTTTCTCTTCATAAAGCTCATGTTAGTTTTGATTTCTTTGTTCTTCGTACTGTCTTTGTACACATGTATTATAAGGCTGTCATATATTTCAATGTATGCATTTTTTTGATGCATCGTACACTTGTCAAGGTATATATCTCTCCAATATAAATTGCTACTTTCTGTTATATCCTGATTGTTCAGTTTATCTCTTTTGACATCTGTCATCCTACTACCATGTTTTTTTATTCTCCTTTCTACTGGGGTGTAAATTGTCTTCCCAAATTTGAAAATCCTCAACATCACTAGAATGAAATTTTCAGAAATGGATTGTATTTATCGTATGTTTGAAGGATTCTTTTTCTTTCAGACATTCACAGCATGGTGTAACAGCCACCTAAGAAAAGCCGGCACCGGCATCGACAACATCGAAGAAGACTTCCGCAATGGCCTCAAACTCATGCTGCTTCTGGAGGTCATCTCCGGCGAAACATTGCCCAAGCCCGACCGAGGCAAAATGCGATTCCACAAAATCGCCAACGTCAACAAGGCTCTCGACTACATCGCCAGTAAAGGGGTCAAGCTCGTTTCCATCGGAGCTGAGGGTAGATATTTTTTTACTTATTGAAAAACCTACATTGATTCCTTCATTAGCTCTAGCTTCTTTTGAATGTAACAGGTTCACTTTTTAATCCAAAAGGCAATCAAAAAAAATATACGATAACAGTTATGAAAATATTCCTTTCGTTCTCTTTCAACACATAGTCTTGACCACATTGTTACATATACAAAACTTACCAATTTTTTTTTCTAGAAATTGTGGACGGCAACCTGAAAATGACTCTCGGTATGATCTGGACCATCATCCTGCGATTCGCCATCCAAGACATCTCCGTGGAAGAGATGACGGCTAAGGAGGGTCTGCTGCTGTGGTGCCAACGAAAAACCGCCCCCTACAAGAACGTCAACGTGCAAAACTTCCACCTCTCTTTCAAGGACGGTCTAGCTTTCTGCGCCCTCATTCACCGTCATCGTCCCGACCTCATCGACTATAACAAGCTCTCCAAGGATAACCCTCTCGAGAACCTCAACACTGCCTTCGACGTTGCCGAGAAGTATCTCGACATTCCAAGGATGTTAGATCCTGACGGTGAGTGGGCTCATGTGTTTTTCACATTTGAGATTATCTTGATAGGTACAATTGGAACGTCTGGAGTAAAATGAATACATATAATGGAAATACTTACCCTACACTAGAACTGCAGACAGCACTGGTTCGCTAATCATCAGGAAATGACTTGAACTGAACATATGACATTTTATCTAATATTTTACTAATTGTAGTGTTGGTTTATTATCGTATTTTAATTGTTATATCAATTGACGAATTGAATTTTCAAAGGACTCTTACACTTCAACAAGTGTGGGGCAACCCGAACGACAAAAAGTCTGGTATTTACGAACAGACTAACGCACTAACTCAGGGGTCTCCAAACTTTGAAGCCTTCGGACCATAATGATTTTTTCAGTTTGTTCCAAGGGCCAATTTCTGCCCTTAACTATATTTCTAGACTGGGATAGTCGCAAAGTGCGTGACCTAAGCAAACTTACGCTTTTTTGCATTTCAATTATTATTGTGTATTGTGACACTTAACGACATCTAGTGGCGAGTAGTGGTACTATGTACTATCTTTTTCAGCGACCCGCTAGGTGGCATTAGGCGTAATTAAATATTTGGAATTACCGCGTTGGTTCGAGAAAGTTCTGGTTCTAGCTAGTGTATTCCGATCACCTCGAGATGGCAGTAATAATTGCATATAAAAAGGCTAGCGGCG